ATTTTAAAATTGTTATTAGCAGAGTGCATTCGAGGTGAGTTTAGGATAGTATTGATTTTTAGTCGGTATTGAATGAACGTGCAAAGAAGAAAATTTAGACTTAAATCAATAAGAATTCAAGCAACTTTTTTACACAACAAGAGGTTCATTTGGCTATAATTTTGATTAACTTTGAATGAAGAAATATTTTTTGGTATAACGATATTACGAACGTAGAGTTTACAAAGAGATCATGCCGGATGAGATACAATAACATAGCATATTTGTATCTTATATAATAAATTATTTATAACTATAAATACTAAAGAACTAATTACAACTAAAATTCATTCGGAAAATGTTGAATTTAGCTATATATTATATTAATGTACTAATATTTTTTTCATCATTTAAACATATATCGCGTTTAGTTTTACTTCTATTACTATTTTTTAATAATTTATATATGTTTTATATTGATTAACGTGATGGACATGTGCAACGCACGTAACCTAAAACTAGTAAAGATTAAAAAGATTAAGGTCTCTATCACCGAGCAAGATCATGTGCGTACTGATTTTCTTTGAAGAGGTGAATTAATTTGTTTATTTGAATTTTCAAATACTTTTCCTAGTATAAGGAAACAATATGAAATAAAATACATATAATAACAATACTGATTAAACTATTTAAAGATAAAAACATTTTTTAAAATAAATAGTTATATATAATAATAATCAATAGTATTAATTAGCCATAACAATTCGTTCATTATTAATCTGGAAGCAAACGTTCCCGGCTATTTTTTGGTTCCGACCCACCAAAAACATAACCATTGCCTAAATTCCTGTCTTCTCTTCAATTGATTCAAATCTTACACGCCATAGCTAAAGGTAAAAGCTTTTTCTTCTTTCAAGTTATAAACTTGCTCTTTTACTAAGCTTCTGCTTGTCATTTCTTCTTTTTTTGTGCAAAGGGTTTGTGTATTTGATTGTTATTTATGTCTTAATTTGTATTTAATTTGATGGTTAAGACTCTTCTTGGAAGGAAGATGTCTTTGTTTTGATTACTACTAGCAGAGACTTTTTTGTTTTAGTTACTTAGGTTTAATCCTGTAGAATTTGACCCATTTTCTCGTTGAATAAAAGGAAGGAAATAGATTATATTTGATAAAACTGATTTGCAATTTCAAGGACTCTTACTATTCAGATCTGTGTTGCTCGGACTCTCCAAAAATGTTATCGCACCCGTGTCCGATCTTTCAAAAATGCACTACTTTTGGAGGACTCACCCATCAATATTTTTGAAGAGTCCGAACAATATAGCTTCAGATAAATTATTGCATTAACTTGTTTGTTTGACCTAAGTTATTTCCTAGTTTCCTTTGGTTATTTCTCTAATATCTTGTTGTCAAATTGCTCTTTATATCCAGATGAAAATTTGTGTGGTGAATGGTTGTCTCTGCAATGTTTGATGCAGTATCTTTGTTTTCAATTACTACTAGCAAGTGATTCCATTGTCCTAAACAACTTGTTCTTATAGCTACATAGGTTTGAGTCTGTTGATTTTGGCCCACTTCATTGAACGAAAGGTACCGAATAAATCAGATTGGTATAAGTAAATTACATTTTTGCCTACTCCAACAGCCACCTTGCTAAAATGCAAGAAAACCCATTAGCTTCTTTGTCAAAATGCAAGGAAATAGTTGTTTATGATAATACACCAACTCTTCACCTCCCTGTACTAGCGGAGTAACTTCGTACACAGGGTAACGCGAAGCCTCTTTACAAACTCCATCTGTTCATGTGCCTGTGTTTTATGTTCTAGTGAATTTTTACCAAGAGGAATATGATTTGAATGTCCTGTGGTGTGCACCTTGATATGTTCGAGGAACGTCTCTGATGAATTGCTTGTGCTTTTCGTATTTCTTTCTACTTCTTTTATTTCCTAGGTTCATTGGTTCTTATTTTTGAATTTCTAGTTGTCAAATTGCTATTTATATCCAGAAAAGAGCTTGTATGGGGAATTGCAGTATCCTTTTACAATTTCTGACGACCACATTTCAATTGCATCAATGCAAATAAATATTTTGTGATGTTGTGTGTGCTAAGTTTGTTGGCTGTTTATCTTAAAAGGTTGCTTGGCCTTATCTTTATTAAGCATATGAACTTAAAGAGATCTGAATCAATTCCAGTGCAATATGCTGTATCCAAATTTAATAGCCTCTTTGTTGGTTGATGGAAGATCCATTTATCATAAGTTCCAATATGCTTGTTGAAAGCAAAATACCCTCATTGATGATAAGTTAAGCAAACAAGTCTCTGAGGTTGAACTAATTTCTTCAGCCGAAGCGCCTACACTACCTGACCTGTATCTTAGTTTTGGGCATATAGTCCCTTGTTACTGTTTAGTTAGGAAAGTCATCCTTTGATGATATAATTTTTTTTTTTAGGTGGCAAGAAAACATGATCTTGAGCAAGAAAATGTGATAGTAAATATCAATAAGGGGAAGCTGTTTTTTTTTTTTTGGTGAGTCATTGAGGTGGTTTTGTTGTTAGATATCTCGTCTATATGCATCTTTTTTTTTCCCTGGCCTCTTGTGTGTTAGAGATCGAAAAGTTCAAATCTTGAGTGATTCCATCAATATATGATTGAATTGCGAAAGCTTTTGAATATGTATCCTACATCTGAACTGAATTCTTTTTAGTTAAAGAATCTCTTTGTAGTTGCTTTGGAACAACTACTTATATGCATACCTTTTTCTAGTTGATCCACACCACCCTCTATTCTCGTAAGACAATACACACTTGCTAAAAACCCACTAAATGCACTATATCATAGGCACAACAAAAATTACTTCTCGTTGCTTGAGCAGAATAGCGGCTCTCTTTGATTTTTTTTAAGTCAGTTTTGAAGCATGTTTCATCCAATTATTTTTGTTCTTAAGGGCTATAGCATCTCCAACTGCTCTTTGAAGTAAGGGTTGCAATTCTGCATTTGCTCGAGGTACATGGCTGACAGACATCATGTTGATCAACAGCAAAATACTGAACCACAGATAAATTCTCATACTCCAAAGGATGACATGATCGCCTGTGTGATAGCATTAGAAGCTGCATTACTACCGTGTTTGCCTGCACGAGAACTCCAGGCAATAGACCGTTCAGCCCATCCATATCATCAGAGTGAGTAATTTCTGGCCTATAGTTGTATGTGCAATCCTTACCAATTTTCTTGAATTAGTGCAAATCTTGTGTCTAGCATTGTGAGATGAGTCTTCTGAAGGATAAGCTTAGTGATAAATCAGAAGAAAGCAATCAAAATTGAAATATTGTCACTTACGTCCTATGTATGCTAACTTCTGTCTTGCATTATAATCTCTTCTCTGAGCGTTATTTTTGAAGCTCTATTTCATCCTTAATTAATGTTCAGAGATTTCATGAGCTCAATCTCTGATGCAATGCTTGTGTTTTGAGACGTGAGGTTTTGGCGTTTTGTTGAATTGTTAATTCCTACACCAGTAAAGTTCCACAACTGAAATATGAATACAAGTAAACTATCTTTTTCAGCACGGTGGTATTCGGGCTAGCTTGCGTGCGCCTCAACTAATTCACCTAGTCCTTGTTACCTCCCCCACTAGCACAAGTATCGGATAATTCTGTCCACCACAGTTTGGCCAAATGGAAGAAATCACCTAGCAATTCTTGCTTCCGTTGAGATTTGAACCGTCGTCAGTTCCTACTTCACGGATCATCCGGGTGCAATATGAATCCAACTAGACTACTGTTTTGTTATTATTATTATTATTTTTAAATAAATGGTTTACACAAACAGGAATAAATTACCTAAAACTGTTTGCCTTTGTTGAGATCTGAACCCTGACTTTCTTGGTTCATTCCAGCTTCATCGACCACTAACCACACCCTTGGATGCAACATGAATCCAATTATACTATTATGTTGCTTTGTTTTGTTTTTCCGTTTGTGCAAGTTTTTGAACATTTCCATGAATATGCAGAACCCACATGAAAGATCTTACTTGAGCATTAAAATAGTAAATAATAATAATAAAGGACAGTTCCAAGATCTACTTGGATTTGAAGCTTTAAACCTTTCTGGTGATTATATAGGGGTCAGTGACAGTTATTTGACGTGAGGAGTTATTTTAGTGAAGAAAGTCAAATTGCCATATGCGATTTAGTCATATAGTGAGGCAGGATGGCCAGAGCTCTAAAAACAAATTGCTTTTATCGTTTTCAATCTATTGTAAAGTTTATCATGTATGCTCTATGTGATTTAATGCACTAGTCATCAATAGTTCTTTTTCTTTGGATGAGTAGATGATTTCAACTAGTCATCAATTGTTTCAGGCTCTTCAGAGATTAGCTTGAATGAACCAACTATTGCACGTTTTGGTCAAAAGTTAGTGTAGGGCCTACTGAATATGACAATTTATCCAGGCTTCTCTCTTCATTGCTGAAGCAAAATTATATGTCCTCTGATTCAAGATTCCTTTATGTATTTAAAAAATATGAGTACCCAACTACTGGTAACAACATCACAGCTAAGTTTTCTTAGCATTGCATTTTCTTTGGGATGAGTGGAAAAATTAACCTCATCTAAAGCTCTTTTTCAGAATTTTCTAGAAACGGCAACATTGAAATAAAGTTGCATTGCCTTGTTTTGATGCTTCAGAGTTTTGTATCTTTTCCTTTTTCATCTTGGTGTCTTTTTAAAATTTACAGTATACCTGCTGGCTTGTTAGCTGTGGAATTCATTAATTTGTTTTTTCTCTTTTGGCTGATTGAGGTTGAAATTTTTTTCGTTGCTTAGTCGATGTAGAGAGACATGCCAGAGATTTCATGGAGGCTGCCAAGAAACTTCAACTTCATTTGATCGGTTTGCAACGTGAAGATCTGCCTACAAGACCGGAGATGCTTAGAAAGGTAATTCATACGTCACACTTCGATTGATATAATGGTACCAAAGGACATATAACAATTCTCTGCTTCCTATGGTCTCTAAAAGGTAGCATGGTGCATTAAGCTCCCGCTATGCACGGGGTCCGGGGAAGCGCTGGACCACAAGGGTCTATTGTACGCAACCTTACCCTGCATTTCTACTAATGGATTATTATTGGTTCTAATTAATTTCTACATACAGGAGATAGAAAAGATGGAAGAAGAGTTGAAGACGAAGACTGAACTCATAGCTAAGCAAGAGAGACTGATCCAAGGATGGAGGGAAGAGTTGAAGGACCAACTGGATAAACACATCATGGAGTTAGAAAGGGTGTAAACCACTACAGGAATGTAAACAAATACTTACATAACTTTTCTTGTTTTATTTGTGATTCGATTTGGATTCTGGGTCGGGATGACAAGTCCTTGTTACTGTTACTTTAGTTATTTTTTCTTAATTTTGGTGGTATCCGGGCTAGTTTGTATGCGCGTCGACTATTCTACGTACCTGCTATATGTCATCTTGTATCGTGTAACTCTGCCTATTAACTTGAATTTGAATCTTTATCAGCGTCTTCTGTGATTGATACAGTAATTTTAGCTGCTTGCAAAGGTAAATGACTTTTTTGATACAAAAAATAGTTTAGTGAGTTTGGTGCAATAAAATGAAAATTGAGTAATCATTCATGAAATTAATCCCACATATGGTACTGATTATGAACACAGTCCAAGTAAACTAACCCAAATAGCAGGATGAGCATTCTCTCTTTGGAGTTACACTTAAGTCACTTTTCAACAAATCTCATGTTAATTTAAAAGCACATAACTATCTCATCTTGCAGTCATTACTTTTTATTTATGTAGTTTTTAGCAGCAGCCTTGGCGTAACTGATAAAGTTGATGTCATATGACCAGGAGGTCACGGGTTCGAGCCGTGAAAACAACCTCTTGCAGAAATGCGAGTTAAGGTTGCGTACAATATACCCTTGTGGTTTAACCCTTCCCCGACCCCGCGCATAGCAGGAGCTTAGTGCACCGAGGTGCCCTAATAACCCTTTAATTCAATTTGTTTTTTGTTTAATATTATTTGATCAACTTTTCTCAGCCATAGCTATTATTTTTCAATGTGGCTCAGGACAACCATATTGGGATAGGAAAGTGCAGCTTTCAATACATATAACAACAAAACATATAATTCCACTCCATGTTTGAAAGCTTGAAAACATAGCATTGTTAAATGTCTAGATTCTAATACTGTGAGTTCTTTACAATAAACCAATGATTTTGATCAAAGTACAAACAATTCACTCTTCTCCAAAGCACAAAGCCAACCCTTTCATCCACACCAAATTCAGCTTAGCTAATTAACTCCTCCTGTAAATATTTACAAGAAAGAAAGCATGAACAGGTATCATGAAGCCTGCATATCTATCTGAGAATGGAAATTCCTACTTCTATATAAGCCAAACTCTTAATTCTTCAAATATTTTGTAACCTACCTAATTCTTCTACTATAAACCAGCAAAACAGAAAATTCCTCATTGTATCTAATACATAACATGAGCAAAATGAATCATCTCAAGGATGATTTTCACCGATGAGTTTGTTCAAAAGTGTTGTCAACAGGGCATCCCTCCTTTCAGCTCGGCTCTCCTCTCTCATTCTCCTTTGCTCCTCCCTCTCCCTCCAAGCATGTTCAATCATCATCCTATCCCTTTCAAGCTTCTCCATTGACGACCGCCATTCCTGCTCAAATACTTCTCTTTCACGAGCACGCTTCTCCATTGTCTCTCTCCATTGCATCTCGATCCTCAGTTGCTGCTGAAAGAAATCTTTGAGGATTTCTTGAATATTTTCAACAGTTCTACCAGTAGTGTTAGTACTTCCTAAGCTGGGTTGTCTTGAAGGTTTCACTGCGTTGTTTGTTCTCGGTCGCTTTTCTTTTTCAATTTTCTTTTTGGGAGCGATGCTGCTTTTTGCCAATTTTACTTCATCACTCTCACAGGCATAACCTTCATCATCTTCTGAGACTTCCTCTGACGATTGATCTCTAATTCTTCTCCGAGGCCTCTTTCTTTCCTGTTGGGAACCAGCCTCAGATTCGAGCTGTAGTTGATGTACGTTATTTGTACTTGCTGTAAAAAGTGCATGTAGCTCATCAAAAAATTGAAATTGTCCGCCATTATCTGGATCAGATGATTCCTTGCCCTGTGAAGGTTTAGAGCTTCCATTAAAACAAAATCCAAAGGAAAAATGCAAGTTTCTCCGGAGCAACAAGACATAAGAAGGGTAACTTTCTCTCTTTCTTCTTTTGCAGCTTTTCAGTTCATTAGATAATGAGATAACCTCGTCGGTAAGATGCACAAGGAAAGCTCTTGTTTATAACTAGAGAGACTCCTGGATAGTTGAATTTCAATAGTTAATGAATTTATAAACACAGAGTGACATGTTATAAGCTTTGAAGGTGCTATATATTTTAGACCTGTACTAATAGGGAGCGAATTACATACATGACCAAGCGCCACCTCTTTTCTGTGACTTATGGAAACCATGGATAGATTTATGGCAGACATAGAAAGTTTAGAAGTATCTTGTAGCAAAACAAGAATATGATGATAGTGGATCTTAGCGATAACTTGACTTAGAAGAAAGCAGCAAAGAAATGATACAGCAGCAAGAAGAGGCCTCCAAGATTCAAGCAGCCCCTTAAGCAAAAACAACTTCATAGTCCATACATATAACTTTTCGGCTTATAACCACTTACTTTGACCATGTATTTTCCTATTTTAGCCCTAATATTTTTTTTCTAATTCTCAAAGTACTCTTCCCAAAATAGAACTCCCAACTCCCTGTCAACTCTATATTTGTCGTTTGTTCTTCTCCTTCTATAGATACTTTCTAATTTATAATTTTTGTAAATAACGTTAAGGACTTATTAGACATTTTAAGAGAAAAATTGCTTATCAGCATTTTCTAACCAAACACATGAACTGCTGATTTTCAATTTTATCACTTCTACCTAAGCACGTAATTACTTAGTTATAAAATCAGTTTCATCACAAAAAGTACTCTTTCGCACTTAATGCTTATCAGCTACTTTTAATCAGCTAAACCAAACGGGCTCTTAGATTAATGATGATATGTTGTCCGAACGGGCTTTTATTCTCCTTTACTTTCCTTTTCATACTACTAAAGTTAGATTTGCACCTTCTTTTGTTCAAAGCGGGGGAGGGCTTAGTGATTTGCTTCTCTAGCGAAATATTTATCCTACCATTCAAGTTGTTCCATAAAGTTAGAAGGATAGTAGAAAATATTTACTTGCTCCTTTTCAACCGGGAAAGGGATGTAGCTGATATCTACACAGAAGGCATAGCTCATGCTCTTGATTAGTTCTCAATTTGACTAGTTTCATGCTTACTAGAAGCTCATTCTTTTAAAAAATGGAAATGCATGAGGAGAACTTTGATGTTGTTGTTTGCTGTTATAATATCTTTACCCTCCCTGGGGAGAGAGATGATTGTGTCTTGGCTGAATTTGCAGAGCAAGTTAACAGATTTCTTTTTCCACAGGTCAACATATAAGTTGGTGAAATATTATTAAAAATAGTGAGCCCGAATAAAAACCTATGTATGAGGGTAACCAACTTATGGCTATTGACTGATTTTGGCTTATAAGCACTTGCACTTTAGGTGCTTACCAAATGCGCAGATAAGTTAAAAAGTGCTTATAAGCTAATTTGACTAACTTATAAGCTTACCAAAACACCCTCTAGAGCAAGTGTCTCCTATTTGATTGTACATCAAAGGGAACCATGAAGTTTGCTCTGTCCTGATACTTTATTTACTTAGCAACAGCGCCAACCTTGACTACCAGCTAAGAAACAAATGAGATTTTCCTTTGGAGAAAGTGTTTCACTGAATAACTCCTCTTTTCCCCAAAAGTCCAACACCCCCTCTCCTCTCCAGAAAAGCAGTTTTGACACAAGATTTCAGATCTTATTGCAAATTCAGAGTCAATTACAAGAATACATCACTGACACTCACTTATCCTTCCACGGTATGCTACTCCAGGTGACATCTAAGAAAATTTCAATCAGAATCGGAATGTGCACATATGATAGGCAATTTTATTTGTTAAAACATCTCTCAATTTGTTATATCCTCCAAACGGAAACCTCAATAACAAATCTTCACACATGACATGCAACAAATACTGGTCCACAAATTCCAATTCTGGATCTAGTAAAAACCAGCAACTGTCCAAACAATCCACCCAAAGGCCAAAACCAAACACCACCAAGAATGAATTGTTTCTAACAATCACATTATATCTCCCAGATGAAATAGGGAGATATAATCTGCGAAGCTATCAACAGCTACCTTTAAAAAATCCTCAATATCTAGAAATCAATAACTCTAGATATCTAAAAGATAAAAGTACATTCGCCTCAATTTATATCTTGAGCCGAGGGTCTTTCAGAAACAGCCTCTCTACCCCTCGGGGTAGGGGTAAGGTCTGCGTACACATTACTCTCCCCAAACAACACTAGTGGAATTTCACTGGGTCGTTGTAGTTGTTGTACTTTTCATTTTGAAATGTCCCAATATATTTGACACCATTCTATTTTATGCAGCTTTCTCAACTTTCAATGATTTGATTTATTAAACTTTGATGTGATGTTTCTCTCTCAATTTACCTATTCAGGTATTCTACATTTTTTCTACTACTTCTAATATAACATATAATTTGAATTAACGCCCGATATCTCGTACCTAGTTAAATATCAACATATAAAATGGGTAAGGGGAAGTAATAATTTACTCAGCATTAGTAACTTCAGCTTCAATATCACACTTTTTTTACAAAAATTGGTGCTACCTAGGCAACTTGCGTGCACCTTGACAATTTCACCAGGTACCTGCTACCTCCCACCAGCATAGATACGGGGTAGCTCTGTGCACCAAGGCTTAGGCAGATAGGAAGAATCATCTAGGATTTTTGCCTCCGCTAGCATTTGAACCTAAAAATCTCATGGTTCTCCTCCAACTCTCAAATACAAGTTCAAAGCCACCACAAATGCAATGCAGATAACTGGCAGTAAATTTTAAGGACTGCAGATATTACTCTAAATTTTTGTTATTTATTCAATAAAAGTTTTCACAGTTGCCAGAATACACATACATGAACCAAGCATCACCTTACTACTATATTCTCAATCCATTCTAACAATCCGATAATTCAGATCATTTTACTTCTAACCATATTATCAGTAACGATAAAAGAACGCACAAGGCAGGTAATTTTTACTTTATTTGCACTTAGAAGATACTTACTCTATCCTAATTTCTTTACACCAATAAACTTACCTTATCAAAAAAAAAAATTCTTTACATCAATACTACCTTCTTTTTTTTAAATAATTGTAGTGGTTAGTCCAGCGTACACGCAACTCAACTATGCCACGGGGTACCTGCATCATCCTACGAGTAACGTACTGGATAACTAGCTGTAAAAATGTGAGGACTGCAGCTATTACTCTAAGAATTGGTTTATATTCAACAAAGTTTTCATAGTTGCCAAAATACAC